AATCCAGGTCCTTGCCAGCCCCATGACCATCAGAATTCTACCAACTTGAATTGTGTCCTGCTGAATGCTCGCAGTGTGGTCAACAAAACACTCAATCTTCAGACAGATCTTGCCCTCAATAATATTGACATCGCTTGTGTAACTGAAACCTGGTTATGCCCTGACGTCATGACTCCCAAAATTTTGGACACTTCACAGTGCCATTTTTTTTGTCATGACAGGAAACGCAATGGAGGTGGTGTGCTCTTTGCATGCAAACCTCATCTCATGCCATCCCGACGAGATGAATTTTAGCCCTCTACCGACACTCAAGCTAATTTCAAAGAATGTGAACTCATCTAGAGCCAGGTCATTATTCCTCACAACAAGGGCAAACTACTTATTGGGACATGTTATCGACCCCTGTCATCAATAACTGGATTTGATGAAGCGCTTTCCTTCTTGATCAACTGCATCCTTCCCTGCTCACATCAATTTCAAGCAATCTTTCTCGTCGGCGAGTTCAATCTACAAATACCCTGCTTGGCATCCTCTGATGAACACAATCCTCCATCTCTTAACACTCGCTCTGCTGCTGTTCTCAATATCATTGACTCTTTGAATATGTCTCAACTGGTCTCCTTCACTACAAGACGAAATCCTCACGGAAATGATGCCATGCTGGACCTCATCTTCTGCAATGAACCAAACTGGACTCGGAATATGTGCAAAGGACCTGGGCTGGGCAACAGTGACCATGACTCCGTTCACTTCCTGATCCTCACAACATCCAGACACCAATTTCCATCGTACCTTTCACCAGTTTCACAAGGCCAACAAACAGGATTTTCAGACCACCCGACAATGCATTCCATGGCAACTTTTCCTTGAAGATGACGTGGATGTAACATGGGAAAATTTCACTTCACTTATCCATGCGGCAGTGAAGGATGTCGTCCCTATCGCCACGTCCAAAGGACACCGCTGGTCTTCATGGATAACAAATGACATCGTCAAAGCGGCGAGAAAAAAGAACCATGCGTACAGATGTGCTGTGAATAACAAGAACAATACAAATTTGTTGGACAAATACAAAGAATTCCGGTCTTTGGTTAATCAACTCACAAGGAATTCTTATAATGATTATATTTATAGTTCAGCCCTTGATTGTAAAGACAACCGTAAGCGTTTTTGGTCTTATGTTAACAGCAAGAGAAAATACCAGAGGAATGCCACTTTTATTTACAACCAAACTCTCTCTGATCCCAGTGCAATTGCTAATGCTTTCAATCTGTCTTTTCAAAGTAACTTTTCTCCACAGCAATCTTCTACCATCTACCTGACTTGGAGGCCTTTACTTTCTGTGTTACTCAAGGAGATGTTATTAGGGCTCTCGGCAAGCTTAATCCTTCCAAAGCACCCGGCTTGGATGGCATATGTCCACAAATTCTGAAATTAGCCGGTTTTGCGATTATTCCTATGTAAACTAGCATATTCATTCTCAGTCTTTCAACAGGTGTCATTCCCCACAACTGGAAACAGGCGAATGTTGTCCCATTGTTTAAACATGGCGATAAATCTCTCATTACTAATTAAAGACCTATTTCCCTTTCTTCTGTTCTTTGTAAAATGCTTGAAGGTTTTATAAGCAGGAAACTACTTGATCATTTTTCCCAGCATCAGATCATCCCAGATTCACAGCATGGATTTCTACCCCGACGTTCTTGTATTACACATGTACTCAATTAACTTCCCTCTTTGTCACCTGGTCTCGAGCTCTTGACATTTCCAATCCTCCTCACATTGATGCAACCTTTCTTAACTGGTCCAGAGCTTTGACAAATGTGACCATTCAACCCTTCTTCATAAACTACATCAGTATGGAATCTGCGGTAACACACTTTCAAGGATCAATAATTTCCTTTCCAACAGAGAACAATGAGTCATCTTTTTAGGAGCCAATTCTGACTGGATACCGGTAACTTCAGGAGTCCCCCAAGGCTCAGTCCTTGGTCCTGTATTATTTAATTTATTTACATCTGACTTGGCTAGCCATGTAAAATCTTCTCTTCCTCAATATGCAGATGACACTGTTTTGTATAGAATTATTAGATGTGAAGATGACATTTCCATTTTACAGAATGACCTCAGTGACCCCAGATGGTGCTCTGATAACCAAATGAAACTTAACTCAACCAAGTGCAAAGTTATGCATGTAACCCACTCCAGAAAGCAAATACTAACCACTTGTTTTCTTGATGTCTGTAGGAAAGTTTGTTGAAATTGCTTGAAAATTTGTAGATACTATTACTTTCAAACATACAATGCATGGGCAAAACCTCAGGCTGATGGCATAATCAGACCAGAAGACCTTTACTCCTAAAAAATCAACCCCCCAACAAAAAAATTAGATTAAAAATCCTAACGGCCATCTGTTGCTTCCCCTTAACAGTTTCACAATGGGCATTTTGCATGTCTTGTGTGTACAGGACAGCGTAGCCAGGATATAGCACAGTGCCAAAATGCTTGCTGCAGCTGAACCCACCTGCAATAAAAAATAATTCTACCAGCAGTTTATCACGTACTACTTACCCAAAGCTCATAACGGTAACACACTGCTTACCCACACTGTGAGTATGCCTTGTTAGTCTGAATCATAAACATGTCATGACCATTGGAACTGCCCACTAAGTTTGTGAGGTGTAGTTGTGAAATCAAATAAGTGCTTGGTCAACTTGTGAATATGCAAAACTGCAGACAGGAATAGTTTTTTGAGGTTCAGATGCATGAGTGACATAGCAGTTTCAGTGATTCATTTGCTTTACAACAAGTTACAGTAGATTGTACATGTACTGGCATTAACTTCAAAGTAGGTAGAGCCTAAAGTCCTACTTATATACATGAAGTGATGTCATAATGACATAATCTTGGGATGTTTTGTAGATTTTAATTTTCATGTGCAAATGTCATTGACTTTGCTCAAGTTTTTTGGCTCTACACGTTTTACAGTGCATGCATGAATGGTAGGTGCATTTGTCTTGTAATCTTACGAATGCAGAATAGCCCTAGGATCTTTTGTAAACAGACATAGAACGTCTTGTTCATTAAATTTTTTCCACTCAAATTTGTGTTCTCCAAATGCAGTATAATTTTGAAAAAGAAATTTGGATGGTGATTTTAAGGGATGACATTGGATTTCTGCCCAGCAGAAGAAAATTTCCCACTTTTCCTACTTAAGAAATTCTAAGATGATACACTTTTATTTTCTGTTTCAGTAGAGTCAGGACGCCTAGAATGTACATGTAAATGCACTAGGGACCATTAACCACTTCATGCTTGGGTGCCTGGTTTCGGGCACATAGGCTTTATACACGAAGCCAGGAAGCCCAAAACCAGACTAAAGAGCTGGGCCTTATAACAAAACACTGTACCCGGAACAAAAAAAAGCTGCCGGGAAATGCTATTATCTTTTCAGTTGTCAATAGCAGAGGAAATCTGTTATTGTTTTGAAAGATTATACCACTGTTTGTGGCATTCGCCCCAAGCAGATTACAACCAGGGACAAAAGTGCTCCAGTGATGAGTGATACAATACCGCTGCACGCTAATCTGGCCCCTATTGAAAAGACGCCAGCAGTGCACTGAGCTGGTTTCGGGAACAAAAGAAACTTACACGACACTGCAAAATCCGGGCCTTTTTACAAGGCAGCAGGCCTGGCTGAAATACTCTTACATCAATAGATTTTGTATGTCAGATTAGAGTAGCCACCCGACAGTCATTCGTGTGGGTGTAAACGTCCAGTAAATGAAGTTAATTTTGTGAAGAATTTTGGTAATCTTGAAAATCCCCTGTTTATGTCATGCAACTTTTAAATTACACCTGGCAGCAAGTGGTTAAAACTCGGCTGCATTGTGGCATGATCATTTTGTGTACAAACTGTGTACTCCTAGGGACACATTACAGTTAAATGAATTTGTAGTTTACCCCCAGGGACTATGCTTATTTTCTCAAGTTTTGCTTGAAGGGATAGTTGTTGAATTGCATGAACCGTTTTCTCGAATGGCTTGCAATGCTCTTCATTTTGAGCATGCACTGTTGAAATACTAAACTGGTGCATTGTATCCTACATACATGCATCTTATAGTAACTGTGCTCATCCAACAAGTCATTTCTCTTTGTGTGTCTATAGCTCCTTTGATATTTTTTTCATCTGACTTAGTGGTGACCTTGGTGGTCACCACTTGACCAAGGGACTGTTTCCTATATCTGTTAAAGTAGGCTTTATAACCCTACATGTCTCAAACATGTAGGAGTCAGGTTGGCATAGTGGTTCTTTCCTCGCTTTCCACCTCTGCGGCCCGGGTTCGAATCCCGGCCCGGTCCACATGTGGATTGGGTTTCAGTCCCTTCCTGATTCTGTGGGTTTTACCCAGAATATTCCTCTGCAGTTTTCCTCTTACCTCTAAAACTGTAACTGCTTCTCACTGTCTTCCTCTCTACAGGTTTCTTCAGGCTTGCGAACTACAGTGCCTAGGGTGCTTTTGAGGAATCGTTGGTGTCATTACCAGAAATATATTATTATAATAATAATAATACAACAACAATAATAATAATAAACATGTCTTGGCTCGTCCAAATTTCTAAGATTCATGTGTTTTTCTTTATCTTTTCCTTTGAAGCACACTTACACGTACATGTACATCATAGTACCATTTTTTTCTTAGTGAAGAAAATATGTTTTACATGGTGCAAAGGTAGATTTATAGCTAAATGAAATTCAGGCAACAGAAGTTTCCTTGCTCATCTATTCTTTTGTTTGCAGGGGTACTTTTTGTAAGTTTTAAATAGAAGCTATTTGAAGAAAAGTGATCTTCTTTTCAGTACATTTTAGATTTGATGGGATTCAAATATTAACACCCTAAAACTTCTGAGCTGTTGGTGCCTCAGATTCGCATACCTTGTTTATTTCCAGCAAGTCTTATTGCTTAACAGATTTTTTGTGTGATTTCCTTAATGTTCAGGACTTTGATTGTTTCACTGTCTCTGAAAGAGCCACAGTACAGAAGAAACTTAGTGGGAAGAGGTAAGTACAAAAAAATGAAAAGGAGAAACTTCAATACTGCTGTGGCACAACACTTACATGCACGTCTCATCTGTTCTTTTGTTTGCATTATGATTAACTTTTTGTTTTAACACCTTGCTTTTTGGTCATTCTTTGTGGGTATTTTACTTCAGGAGACATGGCTGTCCAAACAAAGTTGGTCAAACCCATTAGTCAAAAGTTTATTAACCTATATCTCAATAACTAATGTACCAATTGACATGAAAGTTTGGTTCAAGGGGTTTCTCAAGGAATCCAAGTAGCACACTGAATTATGTTCTAATCCGTGACAGTCAGGTCCAAAAGCATGTTCAATTGACACAGAATTACCCTTTTCTGAAATTCTTCATCATAAATTCTGTATTGTGTGGTATTAATATTTTCGTAACTATAGTTTCTTAGCCAGTTGAAGTAGAATTTCAGTTTTTATAGACTAATAAAGAATTGAATCGAATCAATGCCTTCTAAAACATGCATGCATACTGGTGAACAGTAAAAAGGCAGCAAAGCAGCCTACTGATTGAAAGGATGTTGATTTGCGGACATATAATCTGTACATGACTGGGTTGATATAGAACACATATTGCTGTTCGGTATGGTTCTGTGTGAAGGACAGTTATGGTTGTGATTACAAAACCAACTGCAAGTGTTGTTGAAAGAGCTAGCCAAGGTTAGGAGCTGTCCACTTTGACAAGACAATACATAACTGATTCCATACCTTGCATGTAACTATGTAGAGGTACTAAGGCTTTTCCTGTTTTCATTCATTGCTTATAAATTCACACAAGTTATTTAAAGTTTGATTCAGTGAATTGCTGATATTTTCAGCCATCAACAGATAATATGACCAAAAGAGAGCGTACTGAATTTTGTATACAAGTACCTGGAGTATGTGCAGACAATTATATTGACATCGCTAATGCCATTTATAACGAATTTGTTCATGTATCGTCTGGTCTGACATCTTTGGACAATACCAACCTCACTGTCTTTTTACTGGCTCCTAGGCCACCTCCTCTTCTGTTCCCATGGGAAGTGTATGATGTATTGAGAAAGGTTAAAACATCCAAAGCCTCTGGTCCGGATGGAATTCTGCCTCAGCTTCTCAAAGAATTTGCATACGAGCTTAATGTTCCATTCACTCATATTCTTAATAGCTCATCTAATGAAGGAATTGTTCCTTTTCAATGGAAAAAGGCAATTGTTACTCCCTTTCCTAAAGACTATCCAGCAAATATTGAAAGGCTGATGCCGGTGTCCATGTCGGATGGCTTGGCCAAAATTGCTGAAGAGTTTACATGTATATCGCCCAGTATAGTAATGATAAAGGGGTTTCCACCTCACACTATCTGGTTAGTTTGATGCATTCTTTACACAGTGGAGGTGACTTTTCAAAAGGTTTCGATCTCAATTTAAAAAATTTCAAAGTTAGGGGTAAGGGAATCAATTATTCCTTGGATTTACAGTTTTATTTTTAATAGGCAACAATGTGTCACATATAATCAGAGATTATCTGACTTCAAAACACCCAAAGGAGGTCTTCCACAAGGTACCAAAATCAGTCCCATTGGTTTTCAGTGCTTCATCAACATTTTTTCACCAGATAATAAAGTTGGTATTTGGAAGTACATGTATGTGGGTGACTTAATTTAAGCCGAGAATTGTCCTAGTTCTATCACTGGTAACCTTTGAATTGAATTAGATCGTTTTGTTGAGTGGACTAAGGATAATAACTTAAACCCATCTAACTGTCAGGCTCTTCAAATCCGCTTCAAGAGAAATCTGCCCATACCAGCATTAACTATTGATCATAACCCACTTGCTTCGTGTCTTCAGCAAAGATCCTAGGAGTCACGATTCAAAATGAGTTGAAGTGGGATCTCCAGATTAGTGATATGTTAAGAAAACAAACAGACATTTATACATGTTACGCGCACTTTAAAAATTTGGTCTTACAACAGATGAATTGACAGTTGTTTATAAAGGTTATGTCAGACCCACGATAGAATATGCTGACGTTGTGTAGAATTCTTAACTTCAAAGATCACATTCATATTTTAGAAAAATTGCAGAAAAGAGCGTGTATCATTATGCTTGGTAATAATTATAATTCATATCAGGATGCTATGGAAATGTGTGGCATTGAAACCCTTGCTGATCGTCGGCAGGCACATTGTTAAAAATTTGTTGAGTCTTTGTCTTAGTGTAAACAAACTGATGAATAATCATCCTTTATGAAAAACTATTTAACTAAACTGTTAGGGAGTTGCTCAACTCCATTCTATTATTCTATTTCATGGCTACCCTGTAGGACTAACCATTTTGATAATAGCCCCATTCCAATTTATATTAATTTATTAAATTCATAATTAGAGAATCCGCACAGGCCTTCTTGTGGCTTACGGAATTATTATTATATAAATTATTATATATATTATTCAACAATAGAGAAACAAAACATAATTCAACCCGCTGAAGAAGGTTTGATGTTTTATTCATTTGTTTATTAGTTTTAATAATAATAATTATGATTTGTGGTTGTTTTTGTGCTTGCTATATTTTGATGTACTTTAAATGTATTTTACATCTATTTTAATTAGAATATGTAACATGCTTGTAATTTAGCTTGGGCCATGGTAAGAATGAAATAAACTAATGAATGAATATTAGAATATTAATATTGTTAATATGAGTAAATATATATGTACACTGTTCCAACTCAAGGTTCAGGTCACTTTAAGACCTGGTTAGATGGAACAGGTTTTCATATGTTACATGTTCTGATCTCTCTTAGGAATTTGATATGGAAAACCAAAACAAAATAAACATTTCAGATGGTTTCTGATTTTGATAATTCATCATCATGACATCACCACAATTTTCACTTTTCATGGTTGATTTGTTGACTAAATTTAGATTACAAGTTACAACATCACCTCTTTGCAAACGCCTCAGTAAAGCGTAATCAATTACTTGAGTTGTCCAAATCCACTCAGTTCCAGGAGCAAGGTTGAAATACCAATAGTGAAATGCCAATTTACTTCTCTTACACAGACTCTGTATTGGGATTAAAAAGCTCCTTGTTTTACTGGAGCTGGTACGACAGACTGAAGAGGGGTTCCGTGTACCAAAGCTTCTGTGTCTACTGGAGGAAGAGGCAGGGTGAGACTCAAGATACATGTCTGTCTATTGTATATGAATGGCTTGTTTTAATCTCCTCGTGCCGGTGTGCCAGAGATGTTGGCTTTATATGCACAGCCGGGGTGCCTGAAATCGGACAAAGGACCTGGGCCTTGTAACGAAAGACCATACTCGGAGCAAAAAACTGGGCTGCTGGGAATTACCAACATTTTGTCAATACTGGAGGTAATCCGTCATTGTTTTGAAAGAGTATACGGATTATGACTGGGGACAAAAGCGCTCCAGTGATGAGTGATACAATACCACTGCATGCTAGTCTGGCCACATTCGAAAAGACGCCAGCAATGCATTGGGCCAGTTTCAGGAACAAAAAAAATTACATAACACCGCACAATCTGGGCTCTCTTTACAAGGCAGCAGGCCTGGCTGAAATACTCAGGCGTCCATAGATGTTGTGTGTCAGATTCTAATCTGAAAACCAGACAGTCTTTCGTGTGGGCGTAAACATCCAGTAAATGAAGTTAGGAATTTTTGGAAAATTTGGAAAACAGACATCTTGAAAATCCCCCGGGAATTCATCATGTAACTTCAAATCAAACCTGGCAGCAAATGGTTAATAACTACGATTATACAAATTAACAAGTAAAGGAGGGAATTGCAATTCTAGAGTATTCACATGGATATAAAACATCTGTTTCTTAACCCCTCATGATTAACAGCCCCCAAGCATGACCTTTTCTGCCAGTGTTTATAGGCCTTTTTAAAAATTCAAATGGAATTGATGGTACATATCATGTTTACATGGGACCAAATTTCCTGCTAACTTTTCATAGACTAGTAATGTTCTTGTTTACTCACGTGTGTGTGGTCTGTTCGTGGTAGCATACATGTGTATGTTCACAAACCTAGCTGGAAAGGGCCTTGCTAGATTATGTTCATACCTCTCAATGGGTCTTAGACAAAATGCTTATGCACTGTTCCTTTGAAATGAAAAGGTCTAGATAGATCTTCACCCTTAGACCACTTCAAGCCAGATCAGTCAGCTTTGAAGTGCTTAGTAAGATTTGTACTTCTGTAGTAACATTCTGGCATTGAATTTCAGTTAAGTTCTATGTGCCACTGAGTGATGATCGAGAGTCATAATTGTTTGTGTTTTATTTCATTTGTCTTATGTACATGAACATGTCTTCCACTTTCTTTTTTTGTTTTAAATAACATGAAAGTTTATTATTTTACAAAAATTCACCTTAAATGATGAATAGTACCCTGGAGAGCATTCTTAAAATGATTGCAGACGTCAGACATGTTTGGATGTATGTACATATCTGCAATAAGACCTATATATTGAATTAACAATCAACCAGAAGCCAATGCATTGCACTCTGCTTGCAACAAATTTGGGAAACAAATATTTCGCTGGATCCAAGGGATTTCATAATAGAGTCAACTGTATATCCACATTCACTACAGTAGTGTCACAAACTGTCACTTTTACATAGACCTGTCCTACATCTTCCACAAACAAAATCATTTTTACTTTCACTTTTTGCTTCTTGCAGGTTGGAATGAAAAGTGGCATGCTGCAGAGCTGACTCACAGGAACAGAGTTGATTTTTGGAAACTGTATTATAATCTTCTTTTTATGAGAAGAAATGAAGCACAGGACCAGTGTCACACAACACCAATTCTGCAGTGCTGTGCAGTATTTTCATATATGCACCACTGAAACATTGTACTTTTAACAGTGCCAATTAGGTTGAAGACGTTTAACAGTTTCACACAGCAATCAGTATGCTTTGTTATACCTGTGTCACGACTTCTTTGCTACAGTTTCCTCTCCAAAATGTCTCCAATGTTGTCAAAACATTGACTATCTGTTGCACAGAAAGTTGTACATCATTATGCATCATTATGATTGCATCAGCTGCATGTGCTTATTTAAAAGCAAAAGAACCCTTGCTGTCATGCTGAGCAGACATCACATTAAGGAACATATTCAAGGAAGCAAACTTTAATTACATTGCAGCACTGGAACAGCTGATTGTAGGTATATTTGTGTGTATGGGTTGTGGCACAGTATATTGCAGTTTGCTGCTCCCATTACAATTTAGTGTGAAAGAAGTGCAGGTACCAGTGAATATGAGTTGTCTAGTTAGAAGTCCCTGTCTTACAGTTTGAACTGTATGGTAGGGTCTATGATGCATTTTTATTGACTGGTCATGTGATCATTCTAGGCCAGTGAACATTTAGTATTTAAGACAGGTGTGCAACAGTAGCCTATATTGTATAGGAGTTCTATGAGAGATTCTACCTGACACACTGTTGCAGAAAGCATGAACATTTGTTCGCAATTTTAATGTGAAAATCTCAGTGTTCTGTGTGATTCATGATGAATAAATTTACAAAGTAGGAGGACATGTATGGTAAAGATAGAATGTGGTGTATAAGATGTACATGTAGTAGTCATAACTACATGCAGAACAAGTCATTTAGGATAGGATGGTTGCTTAACGCTGGATGATGAGTAATCACACACACTTTTCCTTATTTTTTCCATGGAGGACGTGTACACACGTTTAAAAATTCTGTTTTTATTTCTGCAATTGATGTATAAATGTGTTTTGCTTGATGGGTCAAAGTACGGAAGATGATCCTACACGCGGATGGACATGTACGCCACAATTTTTACCAGGGCAGTTGAAACACGGCTGAACAGAAGAACTTGGGGAAAAGAAAGAAGTACTGATGCCTAAACTCAGGAGTTGTGTGTCCTTGCTTATTTTATGGGTGCCAGAAAGAATTTGCAAAGAAAAGCCCACCCCCAGCAGTGCTTTCAGGAAAGAAAACCTGACATTAACTGGTTAAACAGTGTATAACTGTCTCAACAGTGTGTTTAAGGATGGTAAGGAATGTGGCAATGAGCACAATATGATACTAATTTTGCAGATGCTGAGTACTAGTAGTAACTTACATTTAAAAAAATGGTATATCCTAATGGTTCAGTTTGTATGGAAATTAATTCAGACAATGAATGATAATTTGCCAGAATTGAAATGTATTAGCATGCTTTAATTCTGGGCAGTAACACAAATTAAACTTTTATTATTTAATTACGGTTTTTAGATCCTCATATTAGTTGTTTAATTCATTTTTTCAGATATTGAAAACATTTGCAATATAAAAAAAAGTACAGAAAGTTGATGGATATTTGACTAGAAATTCTTAATATTTATTAAAGCTTCATTCAATACTTCAATTTCTGTACATTCCTATCATAAAGCATTTGTTCCAAATGAATAAAATTAGGACAAATAACATGAACACTTCATTGTTACAGTACATACATGTGCATGTGCATTGTAGCTTTTCTGTAGTACAGGTACAGGAATTGTAGTCTTCCCATAGAGCTCCCTTTCCATTTCACAGCATCACTTGAAACATGAAAAAAGCAGCTTCTTGCATTTTTCTGTGTACTTGCATCTCTCTTCAAGTCTATTATCCTATTATGGTACATGTAGCCATAACTACTGTTAATTCGTCCAACTTTTGAGACAGATAATCAGGTTGCATGCTAATTGAAATAGTGTAGGTTTATGCAGCATAACTTGCAATGGCTTGTTAATCTTGTTACATGTAGCTGTTTTGGGCAATGGCCAAAGTGGCTTCTTTTCCTTTTCTTTTTTCCACTTAACCACTATATAAAAGGGACTGATCTACATACCAGTGTGGGCCTTTTTCGTACCTGATTCCCTCAAATCTGGAAAACATTCAAACCTGGTTTCCTTCAAACCTAACATCTGAAGATTTATGCCAAACCATGAAAAAGACAGGTCAAATAATGGGCCATAAAATACTGACATTGCGAATCTTTAAAAATCCATATAAAATTAATTGTGAGATACTGCATCTTGCACTTTGTGACGTGATAGAGTAGATACAAGTCTTTCTTTTTTTGTGTATGTACGTGAAATCATGTGGAAGTGTCGGAGCTTGTTGACCAAATGGTATCTTACATTCCTTCTAATGCTTGTTTCATGTGTACTTAATCAAATATGACATGCATATATTTGAATTTGGTAGCTATCCAGAATTGTATTTCATCTTTCTTAATGTTTTCCATTTTTACACATAAGTAACTGAATGACCTTAATATCACTGGCCGAAAGATGTTTCACTTTAATGCAGTAATTACATATACATATAAAAAGACAAAATCCAAAGCTATGTTTCTTTTGTTATAGCATTCATGCCACAAATGTTAAAACCTTCATATTACCCATGTTGGTTTTACTCTTTCAGTAGAGGGGCAGATACAATCTACATATGGCTCAGTTTTTACAGCCCTGGTTATGTCTTTGCTTAACCTTATTTTACAGTTGTGACATTTTGAAAATCTACTCTTTATAAAAATATGTAAAAAGTACATAATGCAAGAAATTCATTCCTGTACTACTTCGATTCTCTTTTAAAATATTCTGTGTTGATAACTGCAAAATAAACAGTATTAAATGTTGAAACTGAAGTCATCAAAACATGAGTGTCTATTTTAGGATGTGTTAAATCTTTAGATAAGAAATTAATTCTGGCATGCAAATGGCCTTTAAAGACTATCTAGTATGGAATTCCATATCTCCCGTCGTCCGTCGCCTTTTGTTTTTTGTTGTGTCCCAATTCTGCCATTTACCAGTTCCAAACATGCCATTTTCCGTCGCCCGTTGTGCGTCGCCCGTCATGCATTGCCCATCAAATGGGTTGATTAAATTTTGAATGTTCAATATTATTTTTATATGGATTTTTACATATTTAACAGTGGCCTCCCACAGCATTCTCTTTGTAACAGTAGCATAGTAAAATTTCGTCTTTAATTCGTCTCATGTGAGTCAAATCACATGAACCTTCCTTGAGGTTGAAACCGGAAGTGGGGTTATTGTTTCAAAGTGGTAATAGATTTTGACTTGTTTTCAATGGTGTGCATCTCTTGGGGTATTGTACTCTTCAAAACATCTACTGATGACGTCATGCAATTGTCGAGCGCCCTCTAGCAACAGGTTGAAAATTCTGAAAAATGAATTTTGAATAAATGTCTGTGGGAAAAGGTTTTGTAATCACCTGAAATTTGGTGGATATGATGATACTTACCCATTTAACATGTGTGGAGTTTGGGGCCAATTAAATCATCTGACTGGAAATTATAATAAAAAGTCCAATATTATTCAAGACTCTGTAAAAAATCAACCGTGAGAGGTATAAGCGTGAAATGCCCATCACATGATAGCTAAAACATTGGAGTCCATTGCCCCAAGTGCATAACTGGCTCACCTGTTCACACACAAGGCGCCAACAACAAAACACACCTTACTAAAGAAAATCCCATTTGTACTACATGTAAACGCTGCGTATTGGCTTCTATGCGGGGGAACACGTAATGCCTACCTATAACGAAAAAGTCACACAGTGTGGGGGGCATACTGGAGGCCATGAAACAAGAGCATGGCACTGAAGTGAGATCACTTTGTATGGAATGCCAAATGACCAAAATATCATTGCAACATGTGCCACTGATTTGTATGGAGTGCCAAAAGCACAAAATTGTTTAAATCAAACAAAACCCCCCCAAAAATTCCGCACTTTTTCTCAATGAACACACTGTCCACTTGTATTGTACACATCCATTTGGCTGCAACTTTGCAGGCAGTTATGGAGGGATGTGTTACAGACAATCATTAACCTTGCGTACGTGTATAGTACTGACATCAAGAGATGACATATAACCCGACATTAAAGGTGCACTCTTTAAAACATCATATCTCGTGAAGTACAAGTCAAATTGAGTGCAAACCTAGTAGATACCTTGAGAAGGGAGTGCTTCAACAGAATACTGACCTGATGTGATGATGACGTCATCAATTAGTGGTAAATTACGTGACATAAAAGTGCACTCTTCACAGCACTATATACCCTGAAGTACATGGCCGATTGGGTTCAAGTCTTGGGCTGAAGCCCAAAACAAACATTAATGACCTGATGTGATGATGACGTCATTACAGGACAAGTGAAGTAATTTTAAAGGTGCAGTCTTCATAGCAATATATCTTGAGAAGGACTTGTCCGATTTGGTTAAAACCTTGCCTTTATCTTGAAAGAGGAGGGCTTTAGAAGAACATTGACCTGAGGTGTTGATGATGTCATCATGTGCCAAGTCATGTGACATTAAAGATGCACTCTTTAAAGAACTATATCTCGTGAAATGCATGTCCGATTGGGTTCAAACCTTGCAGATATCTTGAAAGGGAAGAGCTTAATTAGACAAACATTGACCTGATGTTGTAAGAACTTCATCATGTGGCTAGTCATGTGACATTAGAGGTACATTTTTCACAGCCTATATCTTGTGAACTACATGTCTGATAGGGCAGGAATTTCGTAGATAAGTAGAATAGCTAGAATGAGTGTTATAAACAAAGTTACATGATGTAAAGGGTGCAAAAATTAATTCATTATATCTCCTGATGTCCGAAAAGGTTCGACTATTTTGTCATTAATGTGGTCACCAAAAATATTATTAGAAACTTTGGGAACTCTTGGATAGATGTTTGAGTAAGAAGTGATAAGAATGTGGTAGTATCCCAATTGAAGGGAAAAAAAGAAAATGCGAAAAAGCCCTTTGCTCTGTCCTTAAGACAGACAAAACCTCTAGTTTTCTTTATTTTCCCCCTTTTTTCCCCTTTTTCAGACTATTTCTTCAGCAATCAACTTTGGTACCATAGTGATTCGATTGACTTCAAACTTGGCACAATTTTAAAGATCATCCAAGGACTGTCCTAGAAGAAATTTGGCAAGATGACATCATCAATTTTTTTATTATTGATTTTTGAATATTTAATTTATCCATTAGACTTTGTACACAGATTCAAGGCACCGTTTTTGTCACTGAACAATCTCAGATCTTCATCTAAGTTACAAGAAGGACTACCCTAAAGCTAAGAAGATACTGAAATAATGATGTCATGATGACATCATCATGTGATTTATCTTTGAATTTTGAAGAATTAATTTTTCTCCATAACTTTTGTTTTTTACACGTTTTTCTACTAGGGGTATTGCATGTCGATCTTAATGAGAGCAGAACTTTGGCTGAAGATTACTAGGAGAAAGAAAGAGAAATTGTTTTGTCTTCGTTTGGTTACTAATATACCCAAGTGTCCAAATATCAAATAATATTTCATAACATTTTTTCAATATAAACACAAATCACGTGACATGACTATAAAACTGCAGTTTTTCTCCATAGGTTTTGTGCACGTGTTTCAAAAGCCAAACACTGTTGCACTCATACATCTGAGTTACTTTGTATGGGGAGCATACGTAGTCCGTGGGGCCATCAAAATAAATTCATCTCAGTGAAATTATCGGGAGTCACATGACATGAGATTAAAGTTGCAGTTTTATCCGGAGGTTTTGTACACGTTTTTTCACTTCGCACTTTTATCGATCTTACCAGTGGTCACTTGGGGATTACAATATCAGAAAAATTTCTCTTACAAGTTGATTTGATCTGTTTTTCCAAAATGATAAAGATGAAAAACGAAAATTTAAAAACAGCTCTGTGGTTGTTCACAACCACGTCCCTCTAGTTTTTTATTGATTTTTGG